AAATGTCTAATACTAGGGGGCATGCATTTAAAGGTGAGAGGGGGAAAGTTTAAAGGAGATATGAGTGGTAAGTTTTTTTTTAAACACAGTGGTAGGTGTCTGGGACGTACTGACAGAGGGGGGGGTGATGGAGGCAGATACAATAGGGGCATTTAACGGACTTTTAGTTAAGTACCCGAATATGCAACGAATGGAGGGATATGGACCAATGGCAAGCTGAAGGGATTAGTTTAATTTGGCATCATGTTTGGCGCAACATTGTGGGCCTGTTCCTGTGCTGTACAGGTCTATGTTCTAGATCTACAAAATTGCCCCCAAACAGCTGTAAGAGCAGTGCTGACTGTGCAAATCTGCAAATCTGATTGATTTGCTGAATCCACGAAACTGCCCTTGATTGACACCAGATTTGGCATCTTGTTAGCTTCCAGAGTCCCCACCAGTGCACAATGGCAGAAGTGTGTACTATCTACAAAATACACTGCAATAACTCTCTCAGGCGCCTCCAACAGCCCTTCTAACTTGCTGCCCTTACACTTAAAAAGGACAAGGGCAGCAGATGCATAGGAACACCACCATCTCCAATTTCCCCTCCAAGCCACACAACCATCCTGATTTGGAACTACTTCTCTATTCTTTCAGTGTTGCTGGGTCAATATCCTGGAATGCCCTCCCTAACAGCATTATGAATGTAGCAATACTACAGGAACTGCAGCTCTTCAAGACAACTGCTCATCACCACCTTCTCCAGGACAATTAAGGATGGGCAATAAATGCAGGTTTAGTCATCAATGCCCACATCCAACAAATTAATTTTTAAAAGCATGGGATTTCACTGTAGTAGAGGAAACTGCAACTTCCAGTGAGCATACATGTTTAGTAAGATCAGGAAGTTGCTGTTTTTGCTGCTGTCATCCTTTAGAAGCAATATTAAAAATTGGCATCTTGAAAAGAACTGGCACAAAGTTTCTGAATCTGCATGATTTATACCAAATAATCTCACCAGAAAAGTAAGGTAAAAGTGAAGTAAAAGGTTTATCACTGCCCAGTGAAAAACCCTTCACTATTTCCAAAACAAGCTCACTATCTTGCAGAATTAGTTTTCACAACTAGGGAGGCTCATTCCTTCAGATTTTAAAAAATTGTTGGCAATTTAAAAAGGGCTTTTCCTTCAACTCTTTTCAGCTCTCTCACAATTCAGTCTTATTTCGCCTCTTCATTTTGTCTGCTCTCTTTGATTGACATTGCTCTTCCTCATTATTTATGCAGGATTTGCACCCAATGTACAATTTCAAATTGTCATGATGTTGTAAAACTGGAAACTTCTATTTAATTTGAAGAGGGTGGTGTACAGCTTTTCAAAAGGGCACAGACTGGTGAAATTGGGCAGACAAGTTGTAGACGAAATTAAATTCAGGGAAATGTGAAGTGTTCAATTCTGGTCTTCCTGCTATAGGGGAGATGTTGTGAAATTTGAAAGGGATCACAAAGATTTACAAGGATGTTGCCAGGATTGGAGGGTTTGAGTTATAGGGAGTGATTGAATACGCTGAGGTATTTTTTTCCCCTGGAATGTCGAAGGCTGAGGGGTGACCTTCTAGAGGTTTATAAAATCATGAGGTGCATGGACAGGGTGAATAGCTAAGATCTTTCTCCCCCCAGGATAGAGGGGCTCCAAAACTAGAGGGCATAGGTTTAAGGTGAGAGGGGAAGAATTTAAAAAGGGACATGTGGGCCAAGTTTTTCACACAGAGGGTGGAGCATGTATGGAACAAACTGCCAGAGGAAGGTGCAATTAAGGCAGATACAATTACAATTACAATATTTAAAAGGCATCTGGATGAGTACATAAATAGGAAGGATTTAGAAGGATACGTGCCAAATGCTGGCAAATGGGACCAGATCAGTTTAAGATATCTGGTCAGCATAGACGAATTGGACTGAAGGGTCTGTTTCCGTGTTGTACAACTCCATGACCCACCTCAGTTGAGGAACAAAAACAATATGACGAGTACAATTCTGAAGAGGATGCAGGAGCAAAGAGATCTGGGTTTATTTGTGCGCAAATCATTGAAAGGGGAAGGTAAGTTGAGACACTATTTCAAAGGGACATACAGTCCAAATGCAAGGGAATTCTGATAAGCCTGTATATAACACCATTTCAACGTCAACTGGGTTAGTGCATCCAGTTCTGGGCATCATACCTCAGGAAGCTTGTGAATCTATTAGGGAGGGTGCAGAAATATTTCCAGGGTGGAGAAACTTAATTTACACGGAAAGATAGAAGTCAAGGCTGTGTGGAGAAGACTTAAAATTGAGAGGAGATTTGGTAGCAGTACTAAAAATTATGAGGAGTCTAGACAGAGTAGGTGGAGAGAAAGCGTTCTCACCGGTGGAAGGATCTAGAATAGATTTTGCACAGATTTAAGATAATATGCAAAAACAGCACTGGCAGTATGAGGAAAAATAACTTCAATGCTTAGCAAGTGGTTAGAGGCTGTAATACAATGCCTGTGAAGTCAGTGGACATCAGGTTAACAAAGACAAAGACATTGAAAAGAGAATTGGATCATTAACCGAGAAAGGAAACATAGGCCTATGGTGGGAAGGCAAAGCAGTGACAGAAGGTGAATTGGACCTGTGGAGGGCCAGCATAGATACAATGGCTAAATGTTCTCCTTCTGTGCTGTAAACATTCTATGATTCTATTATTACAGCTGACACTTCCTGGTCCACACACTGCAGTCCTGGAAGGACATTTCATTCTAATAAATGCTCCACGCACAGGTCCCTGCTCCCCTTTAAAGGCACTGCACCATTGTGATTTGGTAATTACAGCAAGCTTCAATGAAAAAAAAACATCACCTGGAAAGTCTGTGAGCAGGTGCAACGAATGGCTTGTACTGTCCACTTGCCATTAAGATTAAAGTCTGGCTCAATAATGAATCTCAAAGATAACCTTGTAATAAAAAGTGTATCCAATTATCCTGATGTTAACAAATTCCACTAACAGCCACTGCAAAAACTTGTTATTTGTGACTCTCAACAATTTATAACTGATGGGAACAGACCCACATCCCAATATCTGGATTAATGAAGCATTTGATGCAAAGGCCAATTAGTAAAAACCTTGCTGCATGATATACACCCATCAACGGCAAAGAACGGATAGGAACGTACAGCATTCAGCCTATGCCACAATTCAATATTATCATGGCAATTAAGAAGCGTAAAGTAACCCGCCATGGTATTACATACAATTTGGTGCAGTATGTCACTTAAAGCTACTCTACAAATGTCAATTTCTATTAATAAACAGTATATCCATTTAACATCACCTGTTTCACTTTGTTTGCCTTGGAAATCCTCTTCTGTGGATAACATTCTTGCATGATCTCTCCCCCAACTCTTGCCAACTCCCCCAGCCACCACCAGTTGCCACCCTCTAGCTCTGCCTTGCGCCTAGACTTGCTTCACACCTTCTGTTCCTAACTTGGCCTTCAGACTCTTCTCCTGAACTTATACTGACACTGTGGATGTCATCTGGTGACAGAGATCGATCAATGCTGGCAGTCCCAGGATTTAAGCCGAAACCTGAACCAACTGACTGTTGCCACTAGATGGTGCCTGCTCAACCTAAAAGCACAGTACTCAATGGGGAGTATTTTTTCCTCGTATATGTATTCCTTCTATAGAGAGTTAGGCATTGTATTTTGCCAGTTTCTTCGGACATGAATGCACGGTGTCGCATATGTATAGTACAGTATTTGAGCTTGTACACAAGTCTCTTCAAACACTTCCCATAAATTCTGGCTTTAACATTAACTTAATGGGAATCAAAGTAACTTCTATTAAAGTTGTGATTTTCAAGTCCACAGCAACAATTTTAAAAGTTACTCACTTGATTAGGAAGTAGTCATACAAAAGCTAAAGATGAGGGACTCTCGCTATTTGTTTGAAAGTCTCCTAATGAGCAAAAGATACAATAAATGTACTTGCATTTGATCTTAAAATTAAAAGAATTAGTTGCCCAGAATATTTTGCACAGTCTAATTGGCCTGAAGTTAGAAAATCGTGACAGGTAATTCATACAGGGTACTGGAAAATTAAAGCACAGAATGAGGAATAGCATTTTTTAAAAAAATCAATTGTACATAAAAACAATTAAACAAAAACATTCAAAAATAATGGTGAAGTTTTAAAGCCACTGGGTGACATGTCAGCTGTATTTACACTGAAGTTTCTAATCCACTGGAAGTCTGCAATTAACAGGGGTAATTTAAAACCAAAAGAGAATTAATTCTAAAATACCATGTTCAGCAAGTGTGCTGTCTAAATGTCAACTTAAATGCCAAGCACAGAAGGCATACTCAGCTTCAGTCTTTTGGAGCTCTCCAGGTACGTTTGAGACACTAATAGTCTGCTTTCAAGTCACAAGGTGAAAGATAAATGCCCATATGCCTGCAATATAAACTTATCCCCCAAAAAACCTTACTTTTCATAAAGCCTTAAAACATTTCAGCCTGAGTCAGTTACTATTATATGATTTTAATATACTGCCAAGCAAAACAAGATACTTGGGAATTCTGTAATGCTGATTTTAGTACTGGCCAAGTGACAGATAATGTTTCCCACTAAAGGAACATCAAAAGGGAATCCATTTTGTTCTTGTACTTTGGGTTTAACATCCTTTTATGGAAATCTTCAAACTCTTGGTAGTTGCTATAATTCACCATTTGTATATGCACAGTTTCCAAGACAGATATAAAAATGTCAAGACATGTCAAAAACAACATTTCTCACAAAACTAAATTTGCTCTCTCAGCTGAAGTGCAGAGTGCTATATCCTTGAGACTTCGCTGGATTAGCTGCACTAGCTCAGCCTTCTATAAACTATCGCAACAAGTGGTTGACAACAGAGACCTCAGCAAGTCAACCTAAGTCCAAGTGTACACAACACTTACCCTCACCACATTCCTGTACTGAAGTGAAATCTGGACTGTATCTGTTACTCATAACAGAATTTCCCTTGCGCCATCAGTAAAGCTTCCATCGTATCCTCCAGATTCAATGGGAGAACACAAAACAAACAGGAGTGTTGCCAGCTCTATGAGCAGTTGGACCAAAATTCCTGCAAAAATTAACTATGATGGACGCTGCACCCAGATAGTTGAAAAGCATTCCCCCACCAGTTCCTCTTATCTCAAATTGCCAGAGTTCCATGGAAGGACGAAGAAACCACTATAAAGATACTATGACACACTCCTTGAAAGACAACAGCATTGGCATTAATGACCTGGGAGGAGGTTGCTGCCAGCTGTTCAAAATCAAATTGGAAGCATGATGTAGTTCAATGCCAAAATAAGGACGTACAGCAGCAGGAAAAAGGTTGTACACTTCAGAACCTACTAGCCTGTGCGAATCCTGTCCCATGTGTCCAAGAATCAGATTGTTTCACATGAAGACCCATGGCAGAAAATCACTGCCCTGATTAGACATCGTTTTCCAATTCAAGGGCAATTAGAGAATCAAACTCATGGACCAAAATAAAGCTTTCAGTCCATTTGGTATTTTAATTTGCAAAGTGTGCAGTCATCATAGTAACATGAAGGCTATTTAAACATTCTGACATCTCGTCAAACTTCCATTCCCTTGAACAGAATACAGCCAGTCTCACAAAACATTTTCATAGCGGTGCAAAAATGACATAAGCAGAATGCACCTATAATTGAGCAACAACTTGAAATGGATTAAATATTATAAAGAGACATCTGAATTGGATAGAGCAAACTGTAAGATTAATTGAGGGGCTCAAACAACAATGTATAAATGGTGTACAAGAGAGAAATTGTAATCCCCGTTTTCAACAAATTAAAAAACAGTCCAGACAGGTATGAAGAAAACAAACTTGCTGTCCCCTTTTCAGAAATATGGTACATTGAGAACTCATTGTACATGCCGCTTCACTATATAAAACACCAGTCCACTGTCGGCATAATAAATTGGAATACATCATTATTTCCACATATTACACTAAGTGCCACACAAGTACTTCCAGTTATCATCTGACATGGCTCGGACAGCACAATTTGGTTGAATTTCACTCTTGTGGCTAATCTATCCTCTCAATCCATCAATGAGTTTCCACTTTGGCATGTGTTCTAATCCACAGGATAATCTGTGCAAAACAAACTGTGAGTCATGTCCTTGTTTAAACTACAATTTCCCAAGTTGATGTAGGGGCTGATGTAGCACATTTTACTCCTGTGCTGAGTATTGATAGTCAGGTCATTAACCTCACTCCGATAGCATTATCTGAGTTGAAGGGAAAAAAAAGATGATGAAAACCTTTATTTGCCATTTATTACCAACACATTTTCTTTCACAGCACAAATATTTAAATAACAGCTTCTGAATAGCCAAAATAATTTAATTTATCACTAGTACGTTCATGAAAACAAACAGTTGCAACATATAATTTGACAGCATGGGACTCAATCAAGCCACAATTGTAGCCTTAGCATCTACATTAATGAATCGTCACTTGCTGCCATTTACACTATGGATACAAGCATCAAAGACATACTTTTCCCAATAACTTCACACACACCACTAATTAATATCAAATTGTGAATCATAAACATGAATAATTTGACACTGAATTACACAGAAACTGAATACGAAATAATCAAATTTGTTTACTCTGTCCCACACACATCCAGATCACCAGAAAAGAAAAGGTGTGCAGTTCAAGTATGACAGAAATGGTCTGTTGGAGGTAAAATGTATTCAGGAGGGACTGAATTTAGAAACAATTTGATATCAACATTAAAAAAGATGTATTCCTCATTAACCAAGACTGAATTTTCAAAGCTGTTCTACTTTAATATCTCTTTTGTCATATCTTTGGCCACCTTCACCAACTCATTCACACCTTGTTTAGCAACTGCCTGTTACAGTTCCCATCCAACAGCAGAAGTAAGCCATTCAGTCCATCAAGTCCACTCTGCCATTCAATGAGAACATGGCTGTTTAGATAATCTACAACACTATTTTCCTGCCTTTTCACTCAAAACCTTTGATTCCCTTACTGATTACAAATATATATATGTAATGTGTCTATCTTAACTTTGAATAGACCTCTGTTACAAAGGACTCCACAGATCCATTATCCTCAGAGAAATTCTTCCTTGTCTGTCTTAAATGGGTGACCTCTTACTCAGAGATTATGCTACAGGAGGTTAAATGTAGTATAATCTCAGCAGAATGACACTTGGATTGTGTTTCTGCTTTGTTTGCAAGCAAGTAACTGCACTCAACATAGGTGGGTATGTTGAACTTTAAAATTTCCATTAAAAAGAAATCAACTTTCATATCCAAAAGGAAAATGTTCTATTAACCAACACAACTGGGAAGCATATCAGCATGTCAACACCACTTATTTCTATTCATTAGAGTGCCTCGACATACTGAGGAATGGTAACATTGTGAAGTTTTATTAATTCACCTGAAAACGAATTTATCAACAAGTTCCCCAGAGAGTAAGCTAATTTTAAAAAGGAAAACAATTCACTAAGAAAGGATGCAGATCTACAATTAATTTGAAACGTTTCATTGCTGTACAGTAGTCACTTAGTAAATTAAATAATCATCAATACGATTTTAAAAATGCCAGCTCGTCAAAGTTCCTTTAAAACTTTAGTAGCTTTACATGACCAATTGTCAGGGCACACATCTCTAAAATATTAATGTGCATATGGCTGGCTGTATGTAGACTTTACAATGGAGCAAAGATGATGTGGTATTTTCCAAGCTGCTGAAGGCTATATATCCATGAAACTTAGTGTAACCTGGATGTAACAGAACGAACGTTTAGAAAATAAACGTAATTTGAACAGGCTCTGAACCAATTTAATTGGCAGAAATTTTGCAAATTTGACCTGGGATTAGGGCCAGTTCTCTGGATAGAGCCCGATTCAGTCTAATTGAACCAGCAAAAAAACTCACAGAAAACACAAGTGCAATTGGTTTTGGACATAATTTACATTTAAAATTCCACAGTTGGTTCAACCAGTTTTGCCCAAATTGGGCTGATGAAATGAACAGAAATGAACAGAGACTTAACCAGCAAAGTACAATTCGGGCTCTCGGGGTGTTGTGGTAGTGGCCCTACTTCTCGGCCAGGATACTTGGGTTCAAATCCAACCTGAAGTGTGTAATAATATCTCTGAACACGCTGATTCGAAAATGTCTGTAACTATGATAAATGGGGGCTCTTGTGGTGAAGTGGTAGTAGCTCTGTCTCAGGGTAGAAGGTCTGGATTCAAGTTCCTCCTGCTCCTGAGGTGTGTAATAACACATCAGAACAGATTGATTAGGGAAGTATCTACAATCCCAGAGGGATCATAAAGTTGCAATGGCACCTTTCTCGTTCCTACATAAAAAATCTTCACAATCAATAACAGAATACCTTGTAGCAAAATACCTGTACCACAAGTCATTAAATATTATTCTATGAATGAAGACCTCATTACTGGACAGAGTTATACATTTCCTTTCCTTGCAAGATAGTAATATTACTGAGTGTCTTAGATGCTTCTGCACATTACATACAAGCTTAAGTGGAGTTGAACATTGGTAAACATTTTGACAGTAATTCACTGACATAGTATCTATTTGTCACACTACGTATATCTAATATGCAGTGGGACATCAAATGTAGGTCAAAGTAAGTGTCATTGTAATGTATGTCTTATTGCCCTTGGCGTGTTGAGGCTCCAGTGACTAGGTGCAAACGGTTTAGAAGGATATATTCTGGTTAAGCTCTATTTTGTTCAGCTTTATGTGTTTTGTAGCTATACCAATTTGCTGTTAGTTGGATTTATGTGCTGCCAATATACAAAATATATAGAAGTGGTAATCACAATCACAAATAATGTTTCCATGTATTGCAGTTAAGCTCTTGCCAATTGTAAAAATGTTTAAATATTGATTTCTGGAATATTTTGATCAGTGCCTCCAATATTTCTGCAGCTACTTCCTTGAAAACGTTTGGATGCAGGGCATCAGGTCCTGTCAACCTATCTGCCTTTAGTCTCATTGTCATGTTGAAAATGACAGAGACTATTAAGATCTTGCCTCCTATGAGCACTTTACTTCTGTTGTCTTTAGGATGTTTACTGGTTCCTATCAACTGTTTAGCCAACCACTAGTTTTCATTGCTTTGTGTGGCTTGTTTTTGATTGCATACTAACATTGAACACCTCCATTACCATGGGCAATTCATCTTTCTCAAGTTCTCTTTTTTGGCTGGAATAAAGTTTTGTTAATCCTTACAAAATATTTGCCTAAATGTCTACCACTGCTCGTACCCTCCTTTTCCCATAATATTTTTCCAGCCATTTTAGATAACTTCTTCCTCTGTCGTTGTGCTTATTTAAAAGAGGAGCATACAAAAGATGAGACCCAGGCTGCCCTTGCTCAAACTGAATTTTAAATCACAACCAAGTTGTGATCTCTACCCTCTACAGGATCCTCAACTACCAGATCTCTTCTTAAAATCTACCTCACTACACATGGCTAGACCTAAAATAGCCTGTCCCCATGTCATTTTGGTCAACTATCGCATCTAGGAACAGCCCTTGATGCACTCTAATTCATCTGCCATATTACCCTTGCCAATTGGATTTATCCAGTCATTATACAGATTAAAATCACCCATGAACCAACTGTAGTGCCCTTCCTTTATGCTTGTATTATTTCCAGAATATACTTTGTCCAACAGTAAGGCAAATCCTCAGGGGCCAAGAGTTGAGTGCATTGAATATAGGAGTTGGGATGTCATGTTGCGGCTGTACAGAACATTGAACGCAGTATTCCAAAAGTGGCCAGGCCAATCTGGTCTCCCTGCTAATGGACAGATGTTTAACTTGAAAGAGTGAAGAAAAGATTTAAGAAGGCTGCCACAGTTGGAGGGTTTATACTACAGGGAGAGGTTGAATAGGCTGAGGCTATTTTCCCTGGAGCATCAGAGGCCAAGGGTGACCTTATAGAGGTTTATAAATTGGTGACAGGCTACGATAGGGTGAATAGCCAAGATCTTTTTCCCAGGATAGGCGTGTCCAAAACTAGAGGGC